AGAGAGTGATGACATCGTCATTAATAATAACACATGCGATGGTGGAAAAAGAAAATCGCAATCGATTGATCATTTTTTTGAAGCTGAATCAAAAATAAAAAAGAGGAAGCTGTTATCATCTACCGTAGCACGAGCCGCTAGAGATGGTGTATCATACATTTCTACTAATTCTGACGACGGACATCAAGCGACGTATCTCATCATAATATAAATGTACGATATGAAGAAGCTATCCAAGATTCCAACTACTGATCATTGGAAACATGCTTCCACGAGGATTAAATATTACGTAAAGACGAATAAGGATAGCATCTACGACAACACAAACGCCCTCGTATACAATATTACAAAGACAATAGCAGAAAGTGAAAAAGTTAAAAAATACTTTTTAACAATGACAGTCTTTAGCTGATCATTAGTGAATGTGATTCTGTTTACTTAAATTACTTCTGTGTACTCATTATATTCTATTTCTAATCCTTTGCTAGACTATGAATATCGGACATTATTTGAAATTTGGGTATCAGTTGGTCTACCAACAGTGGAGTGTGCACCAGTGCTTTCTTCTCCACAACCATGGAAGAGAATACGGAACTATTCAACAGCGAATTAAATCAAGAGTTGTCTAAAGTTTGTGATGAAATAGAGAAGGTTCAACTGTTCGATTCATCGTATGATGATGAGTTGTATAATCACTGTGCGATGGTTGAAACACAGTTTAATTAAGTAAAATAAACATTCATTTCGATCATAATTTACACATTGTCTTATACAGTTTTTAATAAATTTAAACATTTTAGTAGTCAACCACTGCAACTTGGAAGAGGAACGAAGCGAACGAGCAGCAAAGAACCCAAGATCATCAAAAAACCAACAACGGAAGCAGAAGCGCCTACCTCTGCAGGGAACTGTATCAGTAACGATGATCAAGTGGAATGTCTAACGTGTCATATATTTATCAAGAAACGATATTTAGCTAATCATTTTAAAAGTAATGTTCACAAAAATAATCTTTTAAATTCACATAATTCTTTATCAAACGTTAGTGTTATTGAATCTGCTTTTGGAAATAGGATTTTAACTTATCAGAGTAGAGTGATAGTTCGACATTGGAAAATTTTGAAACTCCTGAACTATTTTCAAATTCTATTAAAGATGATATTTTATTTTTAATACAAGAGTGTATTCATCAACACATAATTTTTAAAGTAAACTTCGTATTGCATGCTGATTTTGTTCAACAAACTAAAGATATTCATAATACGTTCGATTTTCAAACGCTTAACTATATTATTTGTCAAGGAGATGACTTAAATATTTTTTTTTCATCTTTAAATGATACAATTACTACTAAAATTAGTGCATTTGAAAAAAAAGATAGTGGATGGAGTCTAAAAAACATAAAATCTATAGACATGAATGTTAATAAATTTAACCCCCTACGCGGTACTTCATACATAGATCTTCCCTGACAGTCGTGACATAAAATTAAAAAAGGCTGTTATAAATGTAAAAAGCAAGGATTATTTTTGTTTTAAATGGGCGTTACTCTCGGCGTTATATCCCGTAAACAAAAACGCGGATCGGGTATCATCGTACGTTAAACATGCAAATAAACTTAAATTTGATGGTATTTCCTTTCCAGTTAAAATTTCTGACATAGCTAAAGTAGAGAAATTAAATGATATTAGTATTAATGTTTTTGGGTTAGAATATAATAAAGAAAAACGATGTAATTCTATAGTAGGTCCATTATTTTTAACAAAGTGTAAAGATAAACATATCAATTTATTATTTTTTCCAAGGATACAAAAAATCGTTATTGTTACATAAAAAATTTATCGCGGTTAGTTAGTAAACAAATTTCAAAAGACGGTCACATCATGTACATTTGCGAAGCATGTCTACTTCATTTTCCATCTCAGGAAAGGTTAAATAACCATGAACAATACGATTGTACCCACATTTGTACAGAATTACCAAACAGTGAAACTTTAAGAAAAAAGAATTGTTTTGGTCAACCCATTTCAAATGATAAAATTAAATTTGATAGTTATGAAAAAAAGTTAAAGATACCATTCGTAGTTTATGCTGATTTTGAAGCATTTTTAAAACCAATAGAATCATGTTCTAACGACCCTTCCAAACTTTCACACACAATATTCAGAAACATGAAGTACATAGTTTTGGTTATTATATAAAATGTTCATATGATGATAAATTATCAAAATATGTAACATATTGCGGACCCAACTGTGCACAAGTGTTTATGGAAAGTTTATCTAATAATCTAAAAGAAATAAATACTTCAAAAATATCCTCCACTTCCGCTAACAAATGAAGACAAAAACCAAATTTCAAATGCAACCATTTGTCATATTTGTGAAACAGAGTTAGCAGAACATTTTTATGATTTTGATTGGTACACCGGTAGTTTTATAGGTGTTGCTCATGAATCATGTAGCTCGAAGTTCAGAACACCTCGTTATATACCAATATTTTTACACAACCTTAGTCACTATGATGCTCATTTTATTGTTCATGCGTTAAACTTTTGTGATGGTGAAGTCGAAGTTATCCCTCAAAATAAAGAAAAATATATATCCTTTTCCAAAAAATTAAAAACGAATAACCACGAAATTATATTGAGATTCTTAGATTCATTTAAGTTTTTATCATGTAAATTAGAAGAATTAGCGAAAAATCTCAGTAATGATCAATTTCAAGAATTACGTAGAAATTATCCTAATGATGAAGATTTCTTTCGTTTAAAACGGAAAGGCGTTTATCCATATGAACTTATGACTAATTATGATAGTTTAAGCCTAACATCGCTCCCCTGAACAAAAAAAAATTTATAGCTCGCTCACAGATTCCCATATTTCAAATGATGATTACAATCATGCTATAGATGTTTGGGAACACTTTGGGTGTTGTAATATGCTAGATTATTCAAACCTGTATTTAAAAACATACGTTTTACTTTTATCCGATGTATTTGAAAACTTTAGAAAGTTATGTATTAATACTTATGATTTAGACCCTGCCCATTATTACACAGCACCCGGTTTAAGTTGGGATGCAATGTTAAAATATACAAAAATAGAATTAGAACTTTTAACAGATTATGAGAAAATTGCATTTATTAGATCAGCTGTCAGGGGTGGTGTATCTCAATGTAGTAATCGTTATGCTAGAGCTAATAACAAAAACATGGGGGATTATGATGCAGGGAAACCAAATTCATATATCACATATTTTGATGCCAACAATTTATATGGGTGGGCTATGTCTCAATGTCTTCCTACTGGTGGATTCGAATGGGTAAATCCGAATACAGAATTTAATGTGTCTGAGACATCGGACTTCGGTTTTATTTTAGAAGTTGATTTGGATATCCAGATGAACTTCATGATTTACATTCGGACTTTCCTTTATGTCCAGAAAACATTTGTGCAGGCAATATTAATGAGAATAAACTAGTCCCAAATTTAAATAATAAAGATAAATATGTAATTCATTACAGAAATTTAAAGCAGTGCATAGAAATGGGGGTTAAATTAACTAAAATTTATAGAGTTTTAAAATTTACACAAAACACAAAATTAAGAACGTTAGCAAAATCAGATTTCGAAAAAAGATTTTTATAAATTAATGAATAATTCAGTCTTCGGTAAGACTATGGAGAATATTGAAAAAAGGGTTAACATAAAATTAGTTACACACTGGGAGAACCAGGGCAAAGCTTTAGGTGCTCAAGATCTAATCGTTAAACCACAATTTCATAGTCTTTCAGTATTTTCAGAAAACCTAGTTGCGGTTCAGTTGCGAAAAACGAAGTTAATATATAACAAACCAATTTATTTAGGGTTTTGCATTTTAGATGTTTCAAAAACATTAATGTATGATTTTCATTATAACTATATGGTTAAAAAGTTTAGTAAAATCAAATTATTGTATACAGATACGGATAGTTTAATATATCATATATTTACAGATGATTTTTACACTGATATAAAACCTGACCTTTCATCATACTTTGATACCTCAGCTTATGATACAAATAATATTTTTGAATATCCAAAATTAAATAAAAAGAAGGTTTTTTTAAAGATGAAAATAATGGTAAAATCATGAAAGAATTTGTGGATTTACGATCCAAAATGTACGCTTTTAACTTAGAGAATAAGACTATATCGAGCCGTTACCGCCAAATTATCGTAAGCGACACTTTTGTCGAAAATGCTTTTTTTATCGTAAGTAGTATTTTAAACCATAACGGATCCATCCCTGTTGACATTTCCCGACAAAATTTAACCGTTATAAAATTGTAGCAAGAACTAAAATTATCGTAAATACATATATTTTTAAAGCCATAACGTAAGCGACAACAAGCATTTTATCGTAAGCGCCTTGCGATCAATTTTTTGTAGCGCAAGTGACACTACTTGTTATCGCAACCGACATAGGTGATAGACTATGAGGCGTTTACTATAAACAAACCTGTCGTGACCTGTTTATTTCCGTGAAAGTAATGCGACAAAAACATTGTTCTCGTTGAATTGTAGCAAAAAAAAAACAGTTTCAGCCATAATAACATTTTTAATTGTATTAATTATTGTTTCGTTATTGTTTCCTTATTGTGTTTTAAATAAAGTACACATAGTTAACTCCAAAACATCAAATAAAACAGCAATGTTGACTCCTGCAGCTAAGGTATGCTTTGTGTTTTAATTTTTGTAATTGAATTGGGGAAAACTTAAATACCAGTACGTACGTTAACCATTAGAATACATTATCCCTGGGTTCATCAGGAATAATATGGATACTTTTTGTCCCGAAATTCCCATGGGAAATCTTATTAACCAAAGCAAAGCGAGGGCGCACCACTGGTATAAAATAAGCAGTCGTAGTAGGTCACTGCCTACGTCTGTCCATTAATGCTTTATTTATTATTATGTGATTCTTTTTAAGTTATTATTTGTTTTTTATAGTCACGAATGAAGAAAATTATGCAGTTAATATCACCACTTCCCATATCAGAAGAGAGTAATCCTGGAACTGCTTTTCCCGAGAACATACAGCAAGATAAGGCCCCAGCTCTAGATCAATTCTTACTAACAGACAGCTACAACGATATTGACATGGACCCAATATTAACTGATACGACATCACCTTCGTTGATCGATTATATTTGTGATACAGATTTAAATTCTGAGCTCAATACTAACGCATTATTAACACCATTACCTCAAACTAAACTTGTCGATTACAGTGATTCAGATACTGAGAATACTTACACTTTAATGAATTTAGATAACCAGAACATAAAAGACTTAACAACTTATGATCCTACTATGCCAGCTTTCATTAATCAATTAATACAGCCGAGCACCAGTTCACTGTTTGACCAACAAGAACTAAATGTGTCCAAGAATTTGGAGACTCACGACAGCATTACCTCTATTGATAGTGAAGATTCAAGGAAGCCTGCCTCATTGTCCAGTGATTCGGATGAAGATAAGTCAGTTCAAACAATAGAAGAAGAAACAAGTGTTGGTAAAAGAGGATATAGGAAAATAAAACCTTTACCAAAACGACTTTTAGCAAAAAAAAATCGTAAGGCTGCTGTAGGGAAATCTATACAACCAAACCCTTGTATGAATAAAAAATGTGGTAACTCATGTGCAAATAAATTTGCGGAAGATGATCGCAATAATATTTTTGAAAACTATTGGGGATTAGGTTGTGATAAAAGACAAAAAGATTTCCTGCTGTCCTGTGCTAAAGAAAAACCGATTGGAAGAAAAAGATCCAGTAGTAATGTTCGCAAAATATCATACGATTATTTTATCAGCTACAATGGACAGAATATTAAAGTATGTCAACAATTTTTCCTTAAGACCCTAAACATATCCCAAATGTCAATGAGATACACCATCGAAAATGCTAATAAAGCTCTGAATACCACTCGAGATGGCAGAAGAACCAGTCGTCCTCATAATAAATCTGACGAGGTAGAAGTCGCTCAGTTAAAATCATTTATTGAGATGTTGCCCGCTGTTCCATCACATTATTGTCGCAATAAAAGCACTAAAGTATATTTACCTCAATAATTTCAAAATATATCGTTTTTGTATTTACAGTATGTTAATCACGTGAAAAAAAATAATCCAGAATCACCAGTATTATCAAAAAGAGTATTTCGTAACATTTTCAAAAGGGATTTTAATATCGGATTCCATCTGCCTAAAAAAGATAAATATGATTTTTTGTGAGAAGTGCAAAAATTTACCACCTGAGAACAAAATTATTTTTGAGCAAACCCCTGAATATAAAAATCACATTGGAGATAAAGAAAAATGTAAACAACTGTTTTTAGAAGACCAAAAAATGAGCAAATTAACTGATTCTAACTCCTTATGCGTAAGCTTTGATTTAGAAAAAGTCCTGAATACTCCACACGGTAAAAGTGTTACCCTATACTATTCCAGGAAGTATGCATACTATAATGAAAGTATATACGAAAGTGGTACAAGGGAAGGTTACTGTTACCTGTGGGGTGAATGCGACGGAAAAAGGGGCTGTAATGAAATTGTTACAGTCCTTTTTAATTACTTGATTATGGTAGACCAAAGAGGTACCCATACAGAGATAAATTTATACTCCGATAGCTGTGCCGGGCAAAATAGGAATCGAGCAATGATATCCATGATAATTCATTTCTTGAAAACCGCAATTACTATTACGAAAATAAAGGTAACTTATCTTTTACCGGGACACACCATGATGCCTGTTGACTCAATTCATAGCACTATTGAAAGTTTTGTGCGTAATAAAATAGTATGGGCTCCTTCTGAGTGGCCAACTATGCTTACTAATGCTAGAAATAAGCCTAGAAACTACAACGTAAATGTTTTAAACTATGGAGATTTCATGGATTGGAAGAATTTTTCACAAGCTTTATTACCAGCAAAATTTAAGATTAATTTTAACTCATTAAGGGTGGTGCAATTTCATAAAAATAATCCTATTGTTAAATTTCAATACGGTTTTTTCGAAGATAGTGACAATTACGAAATAAACATGGATTTCATCATCAGATCGAGAGCAAACAAAGCTATTGTGGAAAAGGGACCTACACCTTTATACGCCGAAGAGCTTAAACTTTCATTAGCTAAATACAAAGATTTACAGGATCTGTGTAACAAAAATGTGATTCCAAACAGATACCATCAAGAATATTTAAGTATGAAGCATGATGAAAACGTACGTGATGCTTTAGCTGAAACAGATGAAGATGAGGAGAATTAAAAATATTTAATTTAATTTTATATTAATACAATATTGATCTCACTAATCAAAATGATTGATTTAATTATTGAATTAATGTCTTGTGTAAAAACCATGACAGCCCTGGTGTTCAGTGAAAACGCGCTAAGATCATTCATACGAGAAGAAATACTTTATTTCATTTTAAATAACTAGTTAAGTTTATAATTATGCTGATTGATCTCGTTACTCTAATTGTTAAATAGAAATAAATTTTCATTTTCAATATTTTATAACTATTTCGTTTAAACGTCTTTTAAAATATCAATTCATTTATCAAAATATAGTTTATTGTATTAGTAATATTAATGGATATTTTTATCGTAAATGCCAAAACAACCTTAGATTATGACAGCAAAAATAAATTAAGCGACATAAGTAGCTTAAATACTAAATATTTTTGTATTTTTTTCCATTATATATGTAAATGTCTGAAAATAAATAATGTATGTAAAATTTCAATTTACTAGCACATTTCTATTAAAACATATTTAAAAAAAACCTTCTCTTGTAAAATTTGTTTTTTGTCGGTTGCGCTAAAACGGCGGTAAAGGCTCGATATATTATATAGCCAAGGCAAAATGGGTAAATAAATGTATCACTAAAAAGATGACCATGGATAGTTATAAGTCTTCTCTATTTAATAAAAATGTGCAATATTATAGTATGCTTAGATTTAAATCAATTAAACACACAATTTTTACACAAAAATTAAATAAGATTGGTTTATCATATAATGACACAAAGAGGCATATTTTAGATAATAATATTGAAACATTAGCATGGGGTCATTATAAACTGCGCTAAGTGTTATAGTTTTTACTTTTATGTCTACATGTAAATAAAATTTGTACTGATTGTAAAATAATGATAATAGTATAATATGACGTAGAGTTTATTACATATTTAATCATTGTTTTATTGTAAATAATTTAAGTTAATTGTTGTTTATATTTGCGTGTGTGTGTATTTATTTGAGGTTGAGATGATTGTAAAATTATGATGTACTAATTGTCTTAGAAATAGTATACAGATCATTCTGTTTTATATAATTTTTTCAATATATATTAATTGTTTACATCAACATTTTCATTTTTTATTTCACCCGTTAGAACTTTAGACGTGTGTAATGTTTAACTTTATCCATCCGTTTACTGCTATTGTGGCAGGACCAAGTGGATGTGGGAAGTCAAATTTTGTAACAAATTTCATAAAATCAGTTACAGAAATATGTAATTGTGATTTTAATCAGATCACATGGTGCTTTGATGAAATGCAACCTTTGTATAATTTACCAAATGTTAACTATCATCAAGGAATTCCAAATCTTAATATGTTTGATGGTGAAAACCTACATCTCGTTATTATTGATGATCTAATGAGAGAGTCCGATGGAAGAATTGTGGATATATTTACAAAAGGTAGTCATCGCAGGAATCTTAGTGTATTTTATTTAACACAAAATTTATTTCATCAGGGTAAAGGGCAAAGAGACATATCTTTTAATTCAAGTTATATAATATATTTTAAAAACCCTCGAGATAAAACTCAAATAAGATATTTAGCGCGACAAGTGTCACCAGATAACCCAAAATTCATTGAAGATGCCTACAGGGATGCAACTCTAGAGGCGCATGGATATTTAATGGTAGATTTAAAACAGAATACCAATGATTTTTGTCGTATCAAGTCAAATGTCTTCCCATTTAATGGTTTCTGTACAGTCTACGTCCCCACAAAAGAGTTTAAGTACACCAAGAATCAAACAATTCAAATCATTGCTAAATGATGCATCGTCGACTCACAACGCATAAACATTTGCTAAACGCTTTGCATACGCTTTAACCAAAATATCAAAGAGCATTACTTAAAACGTGTGATGAAGATGAAATTAACTGTATTTGTGAGTGTATTCATAACGTTTTACAAGGAAAAGTACCTCTTAAAGATCAAGATAAACAAAAATTGAATAAACACAAAAATATACTCCGTCAAATAGTGCGTAAGTGTAAACATAAACTAAGAAAAATATAATTATACAAAAAGGAGGGGCTTTCTTACCAATAATATTAGGTGCAATATTGAGTGGATTAGTGAGTGGACTAGCCAGTTAACATGGAAAATGCAAAGAAAATGATACTTATCGAACCTGGATTCATTGAAAAATTAAAACAAGAAAATAAGGTTAATAGTAATTTATCTCGATTGGATATTGAAATGCAAAATATTATGAATAGTAAGACAGAAGACCGAAAGAAATGGATTTTATATTTACAAACACTGCAAAGATACCTTCATTTTACCGAAGAGGATCGTCAACCATTCAGATTACCAATTTATTCTGATACATCTAATGAAGATTCAAATGAGTCTAAAATTGGTTTTAAAAATAAAGATAGAGATCTAAAAACTTCAGTTGATGCTGAATCTTTGTTGGAGGAGAATCGATCCATTAAAAGTAAAGAAAATGATGAAAATCCACTTTACACACCAGCTCAAATACTCAGTTTAATACCAAAAACTTATAATAAAAAAGGACAGTTATTATTAAACTTAGTTGAAACAAGTAAAAGTAAAATACATTGGGATAATGAAGGTACAGTCATAATTGATAATGAAAAAATTCCTGGAAGTAATATTGTTGATTTAATAAATGATTCACTAAGACCCTTAAAAAGAAGTGATACAGTAGGGTGGGATAGATTTGCTGAAGCATTAAAAGATATTAAAGTACCACTTACTTATATTGGAAATCCAAAGAGATGTGAGTTTATTAACCAACTTCAAGCAAAAGATTTGAACGAACCCTCTGAGATTGAAGTTCAAGAGTTTTCTACACCAAGCAGTAGAGATAAAAAGTCTGCAACTAAAATACGTAAAAGGTTTGAGTGGGAAAAATGGACCCCGTACTAGAAGAAATTAATAGGATTTATTATGATCCATCTAATCCCGCTGGTTTTGGTAGTATTGATAAATTATCAAAAGCCATGAAGGGTAAAATGAACAAAAAGCAAGTAAAGGAATGGTTAAAATCACAAGAAACATACACATTACTTAAACCCATTCGAAAAAAATTCCCGCGTAATAGGTACATTCTATTATAAGAATTAGAAGGTTGAATAAGTGCAAAAGTTTGCATATTATGCGACTCGTCGTGAGGAGTCGGTAATGGGATATTTTTATAAACAGTGAATTTATCAGGCGTTATCAGTGGAATTTGCAAACTGAATACAATCTTATTGTTATAATAATATGAACTAAGTTTCGAGACGTCAATCAAAGAATGAATATTATGTATTTTCAATTGCATTGGAAAATCTAAACGTTTTTTTATTTGATTAATATGCTTGGTTAATTCATTATAAAGACTTAAAGGGCTAATCACGCTAGGATGCAAAACATTTACCTTGGAAAATAAAATAGCATTTATAGTTGTGCTAGAAACAGCAAGTAAGGAGCCTTCAATTACGTTTAGTAAATTATTTATCCTAGAAATGTGAAGGAGTAAGTTATCGGTTTTTTAATTTGCGACAAAATTTTTATTAATTTGGGAATTCAATTTTAATTCGTTTTGACTTAATTTATAAATAATGGCATTAAAATTATTTATAGTGGATTTAATTATATGAATATTATCTCTGAACAAATTGAATAATTCCGTTTCACTTTTCCTACAGGATTCTATCGCGGCATCATATTTTCGCGCATCATCTGCGTCTAGAGTACCTACCAAAGAAAAATTTAAGAATTTCGCCTCCAAATTCTAGAGATATTTTGACTTTGTTTCGCGATGAGTTATTAGTGATTTGTGCAAGATTGCAATTTGACATAATTATATTTTATTAAAGTCTCTATAGGAGTAGAAAAACCTTTACACGGGAAAAATTCGTCAGTATTTATTTTAGAACAAAGATTTAAAATATCATATAATAAATTTTCTATTTTATTGAGATAAGGATCTAAGGATATAAGGTCTATATGTGTTATGACTTTCCAATAATCGTTATAAAAATTAATATGCGTAATAGGTTCAAAATAAATTCCAGGACTATGTGATATAGGTATGATTCTCGATTCAGCGTGGCTTTGGTTTCCATAGCATAAAGCTCTGAAAAAATATACAAAGTAAATTAAATTTACGGAGTTTGAATAGCAGGCTTAATTTCGTTTGTATGGTACTTATTTGTAACCTTACGTTATGCTTATTATTTATTTTTATTATTTTATATGGGCCCTTCCATATAGGTGATAGAGCCTTACGGAGCCGGTGATGATGTTTTGTATACTCTAAGTCGCCAATTTTATAAGAAATTTCGCGTGAACTAGCATCATAATATTGTTTCGATTTTTCTTTGCTTTTAATTATATTTTGAATTGCCTTTTCTCTACTAAAACGCATTCGATATTGTAAAGCTCGAATATATTCATTATAGGTTGTATTATTATTTGTTTCATATAGAGAATTGGGAATGTTAGGTTTATAACCATATAATAATTCGTGAGGTGAGTGAGGGAGTGGTGAAGCTAATTGCGGTAAAAGATAACAATGCCAATCGTTTTGGTTTTCATTTACGAAGGATTTTAGGTATTCTTTTAAAGTAGCATGTGAGCGTTCTAGAGCTCCATTTGCTTGTGGGTGATAAGGAGTAGTAAATAAGGCTTTAACTTTTAAGATTTGAGTCAGTTGTTTAAATAAATCGGACGTGAAACACGTACCCAAATCTGTTAAGATTGTTTTAGGAAAACCGAAAAGAGACATAAAATGTACGAGATTGCTGGCTATTTCTTCACTAGTAGCTGTGACTAGGGGATAAGCACTTGAAAATTTAGTTAAATCGTCTTGCAATGTAAGGATAAATTTGAATTTTTGGAAACCTGCGTCGGGCAAAGGACCAACGATGTCGAGAGCTAATCGTTCAAAAGGTCTAGTAGAAGTGGAAGTTATCTCCATTGGAGCCTTATTGGACATTCTCAGCGGCTTA